CTGGCCGGCCCGCAAAACCCGTGAAGGATTTTTTTTTTTCTACCATGGTTGACAATTTTTTTTCCCCCAACACTTCAAATATTTTTTTCAACCTTGTTCCCTATTTTTTTTTTCTACCATGTCATCCATAATTTTTTTTCCCACCATTAAAAAGAAATTATTTTTCTACCGCAATAATTTTTTTTTCTACCTTAAACATCACCGTAATAATTTTTTTTTTCCAGGGGGGTTCCTAGGGGGCTCCGTACAAAACCCCTATTTGACCTGATTAAAATTTGCTCCGGACAGTTAACAATGATCTTTCTGTTTCTCCTGTTGTATTTAAAATGCAAGGGATTTTCCACATTAAGAGGAGATATTGTGAGAAAAAGAGAGAGCTGTCAGGCAGAAGGTAGACTTAGCTCTCATTAGCACACTGGTGCAGACATGTCTTAGTTGCCTAAAAGTTAACCAGTCATCTGGTGCTACAGGATCCAGCCCTGGTTTTTGTCTCTGCTGTGGATGCTGTCAAACAGTTTTTGTTTTGTTTTTTTGTACAGCACGTCTGACAACAACAACATTTAAAGATTTCTAGTGCCAAAGTACGATCAGTCATAAAAGAAAAATACAATGTCAGAGAAGCACAAAACAAAAAAACTCTGAGCATTAAAACATTAACACTTTCTTGTGTTGGTAATTTTAGACTTGGTTTTGGGTGTTTTGCTGCGACACAGGCTCCTGGACAGTGATCACTGTCATCAGAGCAAAAAATAAGAAATCCAATATTACTGTGACTCTGTCAATGTAATGATTTTTAAAATCACCTGCTCCACAAACTCATCTTAGTAAAATGACCTTGATTAATTACAGATGTGAAGCATTTACAGTCTCACGCCAACAGGCATTTTTTTCCCATTTCAAACACAAACAGAAGCTGCACTTGTTCTGCTTTCTGTCATGTGATGCATCATGAACTGCTGTGTTCTAGCTTGGACATGTAGGATGAACCACAACAAGGACATCATCTGATACCACTTTAATTTGTTTCATCGGGTGAGCACTGGCCTTTGGGAAGTTGGGGAATTTTCCTGCTTGGTTAGACAGCTGTCTCAAATATCAAGGTGTTGCATCCAGTACTTTTAACCATGCTAACTC